AAGAAAGAAAGAAAGAAAGAAAGAAAGAAAGAAAGAAAGAAAGAAAGAGAAAGAAAGAAAGAAAGAAAGAGAAAGAAAGAAGAACTTACTATGTGCCAGGCACAGTGTTTAGTACTTTAAAATTATTCCCACATTTGATCCCCACAACAAGCCTGGGAGGCAGGTGCTACTATTTCACCCCTTATACAGTTGAGGAAACTGAGGCAAACAGAGTTAAGTGACTTGCTCAGGATCCCACAGCTAGGAAGTGTTCAAGGACAGATTCGAACTCAGGTCTTCCTGAATCCAGGCCCGCCGCTCTATCCACTGAGGCACTTAGCTGCCCCTAAGAGTTCATAAGCCTCCCCATCCTGTGTGGCTTTCATCCAAGTCCTCCCATGAGTTGACCACATGGGGCTTCCCCCACATGCTAAAGACCTTCCTCCTTTTCTCCTGAAAAGGACATTTTAACTCAATGTGCCTGCTGACAGCTTCTACCCGTGGTTCCTCATCCTGCCTAATCTAGCATCCACAAAATAGCCTTGAAATATGTGAAGACGGCTCTTGTGACACCTCGTACCCTGTCTTCTCTGCTCCAGGTCCTTCCATCATGTGCCATAAGCTCAAAGCCCTTTCCTATTCCGGTTGTCCTCTGCTGGACCCCCCTCCAGCTTATGAGTTTCCTTTCTAAACTGGGGATGCCCAGAACTGACTGCAACTCTCCAGGTGCAATCTGGAGGACAGTAGGACTGTCCTCCTTCATCCTGGGCACTTTTAACCCAGCTCAAGACCGGACAATCCTTCTGAGTGGCCACATCCCACCACACTCCTGAGTTTCAATCCATTCTTAGCTCCTGCAGTTCTGCCTTCCCCAATCAAACAGTCAAGAAGCTTACTAGTGCCTGTGTTAAACACTGGAAATACAATTACAAGCAGAAAGAAAGATGGTCCCTGCCCTCCAGGAGCTTCCATTCTGATGGAGGACGACAACAGCCTGCGAAGTCCAAGTCCATTGATGGCTGGTAGAGGAAACAGAAGGAAAAGGATAATCAATTTGTTCTGTCTTTTGCCTGCCGCTTTTTGTTTTTTCTAATCACCTCCCCATCTCTCTGGAGTAGCAGTCCCAGCCCTTCTTGATCTCCCTCTTGTTTCCAAATCCCTAAACGTTTCTTGCCATGTTCCGCTCATCCAGAGATTTAGCATGACAGGCACCAGTCATCCAAGGTCTGCTCCCCGTTCATGTTCGTTCCCTATTGCCCGGACTGATTTCCATCTTCTATATGTATGTTTTTAGAGCCTAGGTTGGTTCATGAGCTCCCTGTGTATCCATATCTCAGATAATCGGTTTCCCCTCTTCACCCTCAATGGAATCATTCCTGGTTCTGTTGTCAGAATTTTGTTCATAAGAACTTTCCAGTTCATCAGAGCTAGCTTCCTCCTAGGGTACAGGACCCCATGTATCCTGTCTCTGAACCTCATAAGAATGAATCTCTCAGTGCCCAGAGTGTTATTCTAGCAAGCGCATGTCCCAAGGAATGGTGTCCTATCATCCTGAAATCTGTCCAATTTATGCCATCTCTCTCCAAGAGCCAACATAAGCTTGCCACCTCCTCCTGTCCCCATGAGGCTCCCAGCAAATTCCTGTTTCCTGTCCAAAAGACATAGTGCTTGAGTATCACCAAAAAATACAATTAGGGAAACCCAAGATCCAGTGAGATGTCTGAGGAAAAAATAAGGGTATGAAATTTAGTGAAGATAAAAATGTAACATTAGAGAACATTTCTCCACAATAAGGCCAATTAGTCTGGAATAACCTTCCAAGGACAGAGCTGGAATCTCCATCGTTGGAGTTATTCATACTTGGTCTAGACAATCCATGAGGGATTTTTCTGTAGGGAGTGATGCTTCGTTGGCAAGGGGGGTAGGGAGGAAGGGAAAGGGGCCTGAATGATGTAATAGGTCATGTTCCATCTCTACCTTTTACGATTTTTTGAATTCCAGTCAGTTCCATTAGAAAAGCAGGAAAGAAAAGCTGGGATTGACCAAAGATAATGAATGAAACCAATCACTTTGTCCTTCTTTTCAGTCCTGGAAGATTTGACTCACATGGCCCATTGCCTAAGCTCTGGGCTCACTTGGACCCAGATTCAATCTTCAATTATCATCAATAATTAGATGCTCTCAATATGCCTCAAGCTCCCACTCAGATGGTATAACCTGCAATAATTCAGTTCAATAAAACAAATATTTATGACCCACCTGCTTTGGGCAATAAATCAATCAAGAACAACCATTTATTAAGCCTCCTATATGCCCCAAGCTGGCAATAGAAATACAACGAATGAAACAACCTCTTCTCACAAAGAGCTTACATTTTAATAGAGGAGACGATAAGTATAGGATAAATTTAAAGGAAACGATTACAAGGGAGTTGGGGGGGGGAGTTGTTAAGGTGGGGAGAGATCAGGAAAGGCTTCATGTAAAAAGTAAGGCTTGATCCGAGTTGAGAAGGAAGAGGGGGAGGAGTGAGTAAGGGAGGACATTCTAGGCATGGGGAACAGCCAGGGCAAAGGCTTGAAGATGGGCTACAGCATCATGAGTGAGGAGCAGAGAGATGACCCGGTGGATGACCAAGCATGAAAAGAAGCGCAGTGTCCAGTGAAGGTCTGGTACTGGGCACACTCACGTGCTCAGAAGGGCCTGTCATCTTCTCCATTTTGCAATCCCTCCCACTCTTCAATGCCCGCTCTTCCCGAATGATGCTCGTCCCTGTCTTCCAATGAGTTTGCACAAGAGGTCCACCCAACGTGTTTGACCTCACACACACAAAATCAGCAGATGGGCTGCCCTTTGGTTACACTTTCCCCTCATGACCTGACCTCCTTTTTCTCTACTTCTTCATAAGATTTTATTTGTAATGTGTGGCTACCTACTTATGCCCATCTTATTCCTTCCCTTGCGTCTCAGACTTGGAGTCAAGAAGCCCTGAATTCAAATCCTGACTCAGACACTTCCTAGTGTGTGATCCTGGGCAAGTCACTTAACCTGTGTCTGCCTTACTTTCCTGAAGAAAATAACAGTACCTACATCCCAGATCTGTGAAGATTAGTTGGTCAGTCAACAATATATTAAGCCCTTACTCTGTGCCAGGCATTGTACTAAGTGCTGGGAAGGGAAGGGAAGGAAGGGACTCATCATTTTGTTTGCTTCTGGCCAAAATCCATTGGGCTGCATAGGCATGAGACCCTTGGACAAGGGGCCCTTCCCCACCCCAATCCAGCCTGGCTTTCTCAGAGGACCCCCTTCCCGTCCCTCCAAACAGAAACAGTTAGATGCCAAACTTCTCCTTCCTGCTCTTTCCTTCACAGGACGCAGTAGCCAGCATCAGCAGAGAGCTGAAGGACTTCCAGGCCCAGTTTGAAGCCTCCATGGCTACCCACCAGGAAGAGGCCAAGGCCTTGAATGAGCGCATAAAGGAACTAGTCAGAGAAAATAGCACTGTGGGCAAAGAGGTGAGTGGTGCCAAGTTCTCCATTCTCAAGACGAATGAAGAGGTGGCCCAGCTGGACAGGTAAGGGCAAGGGTGAAACCAGGGAGAGACAATAGGACTCTTGTCTCAGGCCTCTGAAATTTAAGGGAACTAAAAATTCAAAACATACTTCTTCTGCACCGTGAAAATAGCAGAACTTACACCTAATTAGCCAAAATAATTAGAATAAAATCATGTGGTGCATATCAGATGACTGGTATGAACCAATTAGCCACTAGGGTAATTAGTTCCTTCATACCTCAATTGATGTTAATTACTTCTTTTCTAAAATTTTATTTTTGTTGTGAACTTAATAATAATAAGTAATATATATATATATATATATGCAGCACTTTAGAATATGCAAAGTACTTTACACATGTTATCTCCTTTTATCATCACCACAACGCAATGGGAGAGTAGGTATTATTGTCTCCATTTTTACAGATGAGGAAATTGAGGCTGAGAAAGGTTAAGTGATTTGTCCAGGGTCACACAGCTAGTAAGTGTTTGAGGTAGGAGTCAAACTCAGGTATTCCTGATTCCCAGTACAGCATTCTGGCCTCTAGACTACCCAGAGGCCTCTGAGTAATCATCAGCACAAATATTTCAATATACAAAGAAAAGCAAGAAATAGGATTGTAGAAGAAACTGTGAACCTTTGTTGCCCAGAGTAAAGACTTATTTTCACATCATGAATTACAAAATTGTTTTCTTTAATCATCTGAAAAATAATAGGGTTCAACTCCCTGACCCCTATGGGTCCCTTCCAGCTACAAGCCCATGGTCCTATGATTTAAGGGCTCACTGTCTTTCATGTTGTTTGTCCCAAGTATGAGATGAGGATTACCAGCTATGACTCTGGCTCAGGACAAGTCAACCTTATTCTGGAGAGGGGTTGCTGTGTATTCTGACCAAATGACACATCATTCTCTGTGTGTGTGTGTGTGTGTGTGTGTGTGTGTGTGTGTCTGTCTCATTGTCGCTGTCTCTCTCAATCTCTATGTGTCTGTCTCTTTCTGTTTCTGTGTCTCTGTGTCTCTTTCTTCCCCCTCTTCTCTATCTCTCCCTCCCACCCTCTCTCTCTCTGTCTTTCTGTCTCTCTGTCTCTGTCTCTGTCTCTCTCTCTGTCTCTGTCTCTGTCTCTCTCTCTCTGTCTTTCTGTCTCTCTGTCTCTGTCTCTATCTCTGTCTCTCTGTCTCTCTCTGTCTCTTTGTCTCTGTCTCTCTGTCTCTGTCTCTATCTGTCTCTCTCTGTCTCTGTCTCTGTCTCTCTCTGTCTCTGTCTCTGTCTCTCTCTGTCTTTCTGTCTCTCTGTCTGTCTCTATCTCTGTCTCTCTGTCTCTCTCTGTCTCTCTGTCTCTGTCTCTGTCTCTCTGTCTCTGTCTCTATCTGTCTCTCTCTCTGTCTCTGTCTCTAACTCTCTGTCTCTCTCTCTCTGTCTCTCTGTGTCTCTCTCTCTCTGTCTCCCCCCGCCCCGGCCTTCCTCCATCCTCTCCCCCATCTCTAAACTACTGGTCCAACTATGTTACCCTTCTACTCAATAAACTCCTGGAGCTCCCCGTGGCCTCTGGGGGCAAATACAAAACGCTCTGTCTGGCCTTCAAAGCCCTTCATAAGCTGGCCCCCCTCTGCCTTTCCAGTCTTCTTATACCTTATGCCCTGACATGTACTCTTCAATCCAGTGACTCTGGCCTCCTGGCTATTCCTAGAACAAGACCCTCCATCTCTCACCTCCAGGCATTTTCCCTGACTGTCCTCTGTGCCTGGAGCTTTCTCCTTTCACTCTGCCTAATGACAGCCCTGGTTAAGTCCCAACTAAAATTCCACCTTCTACAGGAAGTCTTTCCCAACCCCTCTGAATTCTAGTGCCTTCCTCTATTAATTATTTCCCATTTATCCCCTATGTAGCTTGTTTATTCATATTTACTTGTTTTTTCCCCCATTAGATTGTGAGTTCTTTGAGGGCAGGAACTTTCTTTTGCCTCTTGTTGTATCCCTAGCACTTAGCACAGTGCCTGGCACATAGTAGGTGTGAACCTACTTAATGTTCATTGACTGACTGACAGTGCCCCCAGTAACACCTAAAAGGTTCGGTCCAATCCAATCAAAGACTCAGAGTTGGAAGGGACCTCAGAGGCTGCATCTGATCCTACCTCTACCCATATAAAAGATTCCCTGTGTAGGCTCTCTGAGAAGTGGTCGTCCAGCTCTCAATACAAGCACCACTTATGTCCAAGGTCCTTGGCTGTGCACTGGGGGTGAGGACAGGAATAGCAATTGGAAATGTGACTTTGTTGGTACAGAGACCTCCCAAATGAGGAAACTCCCTTGACCAACCAAGAGATGTCCCAGAATCACAGAACCTCAGAGTAGGAAGGAGCTTTAGCAAACACCTAGCACACCCCCCACACGGGAGCTTCTACTGTAACCCACTGATGAAGTCCTCCAGTCTCTGCTTACTGAGGGGAGCACGCCATCTCAGGAGTGGGAGAGCCCTCAAATATTTCCAGAGAACCAACTGTCCTCATTATGACTTCTATCCACTGCTCCTGATCCTGGCCTCTGGAGTCAATATGAATGAATCCTATTCCTCCTCCAGGCACTAGCCCTTCAAATATCCACCCCCACACCATCCTTCAACTGGCCCTTGTATACTGTGGACTCCCCTATTCTGCAATTGCTACTCTCAGGGACTTCCAGAGTGGCCCAGAACACTCACAGGACAAGTGACTTGCCCAGGGTCACACAGCCAGAATGTGTCAGAGGTTACCAGATTTTCAGGCTGCCTCTCCTAGGCCCTTGGGGATAAAAAGTCCAGCTATAAAACAATCTCTGCCCTCAAACAGTTTCTGCTCTCCTGGGTTAGACACCTGGGCACCAGGCTTCCTTAGGTGGCTCCCAATCTCAGAAGCAAAGAGATTGCTCTGGGCACAAGAATACCAACAATGAGAGGGGGGTGGGAAAAAAGAGAAAATTGAAGGACATAAAAGCAGAAGAAAGAAAAATTTAACATGACAGCCTGTTTATTTTGGCAGAGAGAGAGGTCGGTCTTTTTTCAACTGATTTCAAAGTCAGAGCCTGGGAGAGACCACACAGGAAAGTCAAGAGGGGATTTGAAAGTGGGGACAAGGGGCGGAGCAGGAGAAAGGCCAGGAGGGAAAGGGGGGAAGGCCTTGGTTTTGTTAGAATGAAGGCTCCTCAGAAAGATCCATCATGGGGGTTTGGGGAAAACTGGAAGTAAACAGAAACAAACAAAAAAAGGGAAAACCATTGAGAACAAGAAACGAGCACTACACGGGAGGGAAGGACAAGGGGGTTAATTCAGGGAGCAGAGGAGAGGGAGCCTGGGGTAGGAAAGCACAGGACTCGTGGAAGCATCCCTGGGCACAGAACCCCAGCAAAGGCTGCTGGGCTGGGCTCGGCTCAGTTCTGCCCATCCCCAAGGGGTTCGAAGGCTTTCACAGAGCCTTTGAACTTGAGCCGCTGGCAGGCCAGTTCTGCAGCCCGCCCTCCCGTCCACACATGCACACAGAGCCTGCACAGTCACACACGGCTCCCTCCCACCCCCTCTTTCTTCCCGTCCAAGGCTCAGCTGGAGATCTGGCTGCCTGCATGGGATTGTAGCAGAGGTTGTTTATAAAATTTCTAGTAAAGAAATAATTAGTATAATCACATTAAGGGATTTGGCTGTAAAATTCCTGTAAGAGGGACCGCTTGGCTTTGCACAGGGAGAGCCACGGTTGGGGTTTTTGGTCGGTTTCCGTTTGGGATGGGTTTTCTTTTTTCATTTGTTTTGGGTTTTCCCTCTCCCCCTTCCTGGGAAATGCAAACAGTTTCCTTTATGATGGATGTCCCTTTCTCTGGTCACTGACCTTCTGGGTGAATTTCTGCTGAGCTTGGTGGAAAACCTTGGGCCCCGTTGTGGATTCCATATGTGAGGGCTGGGGGGTCCTCACCCTTATCCTTCTCGAAAACAGAACAACAATAACAGAGAGTGGGACAGAATGAATCAGGCCTGTGGAGAGGCTCTGGACAATGTTACTGTGGAAAGAAGAAAGAAGAAAGAAATGACCTTTTTTTTTTCTTTTAGAAAAACAGGATTTTATATCCCTATGAGTGTGTAGTATTTCCTGTGCTCGATCCCTCTCTCTCTCTCTCTCTCTCTCTCTCTCTCTCTCTCTCTCTCTCACACATACACACACACACACACACACCCTCACAGTAACTATCAAGGCTTCTCCATCCCCTGGGAAATGAAGACAGAGCCATAACCAGCCAATTTTGTGTCTTGGGCAAGGACAGCAAAACCTGCCCAGAGCAAACAGCTTTTTAAAGATACATTCAGTGCAGGCATTAATGGGGATAGACTCAGGACAGCACCCTGTAGGAGGGAGATAGACACCAAGAGGTCAAAACCCAAAACCACCGATGGGGGAGGGAGTAGGGTGGACCCAGGCCTGGGATAAGCTCAATCATGGGGAGCTTGGGGGGTGGGGAGGAGGAAGAGGAGAAACCAGACCACCTGACAGCCTTTATTTTAACTAATTTTACTGACAGTGTTTTAGAGAATCAACCTTGGAATGACAAAGAACAGGGTTCCAGTCCCACTGCTGGCACATACTGACAGGGACCCTAGGCAAGCCACTTAGCTTCTAAGTGCCCCCAGGCAACAATGTGAGATTGTAAATGCCAGGAAGGTCCTATTTGTCACTGTCTGAGGAAGCCCTTCACCCAAAGCTCCCTGTGCTGATGAAATCACAGGTCTCCTTCCTTTTCCTTCCCATCCCCCCTCCAAATCTTTGCTAACTATGTAGTGACCCCAGTTGTTTCTACCCCCTGAGGAAGAACATGGGATGTCAGTGCACCTCCACATGTTGGCATCCTAGGACATACTCCTAGTTGACCAGCCCTAGTTACCTTTTTAGAAGAAAGGAGAGGAGATGCCACCAGCAGGACCACTCACTGACTGGGCCAGATGAATCACGTCCTTCCTACAGCTGCCATGAAGCTGCTACTCACCCCAGCAAAGAGGCTGCCACAAAAGGGTTTCTAGGTAGCCATTCCCTCCCTTTGTAGAGTGAGTCCAGAGCCCCATTGGGATTGGAACTGGACAGGATCTTTGAGACCACCAAGTCCAGCGTCTTCACTTTATAGATGAAGCTCAAGCAACTGCCTGGCACAAAGCCACGGGGTAGAAACTGCAGTCAGGCTTGGAGCCTAGCTCCTCTGGCGTCAAATCCTACCCACTGTGCTGCAATTGCCTCTGAACTGAATTGAAGAATCTAGTTGAGTTGAATTGAAGAGAACAAGGGTCAGAAAGCCTGAGTGACCCAGTCTCTACTCCAGAAAGCCCCCAGTCATTGATGGTATCGTGGGGAGGGAGGGCAGATCTGGCACTCAGGGGAGCGCGAACACACACACACACACACACACACACACACACACACACACACACACACCTCGATGTGGAAGACTCTGGAGGTCTTCAAACAGAGCCAGGATGACCATTTGTTAGGTGTCATGGTGGCGATTTCTCTTTGATGGATTGGTGGTGCCTAAGCCATATTCCAGGTCTGACCTCAAACTGCCACCACCACCCCATTCTCTGGCCATATCTCCTAGTACAGTCCTCCACCTACTCAAAACTCCAGGCAGCTGTCTGCTTCTGCCCCTCGCACACCGCCCCTCCAGCGAGCTTTTGCTGGCAGGCTTCCCTATGCCTGAAATGTACTCTCCTTCCTTTACCTGTCGAATCCTTGCCACCTTTCAAAGTCTAACGCATGCGCTGCCTCCTCCATGAGGCCATCCCTGATAGCCTGCCCTTTCCCCCAGGATCTCTATCCCTCACCCCAAGAACAATAGGTAGGCTGCTACTGCTACTGCCCTGTTGTGGGTAAGTTAGCCGAGGCTGAGGCTGAGGGAATGAATGTCCTTCAGGGTGCCCCAGCCAGTAAGTGTCTGAGACAACGCTTTTGAATACTGGGTCTTCCTCCTTCCAAGGGCAGGATTCTATTCACTAGGGCACCTAGCCGCTCCAGCCCATCCCCGTCCATCCCCGCCTGCGCTGGGGAACAAAGCCATGCGGGGATTAGCGGCATCCAGGGCTTCTCAGAGACGTCTTGCCTCTCTTACACAGGCTGAAGAGTTGAGGGCTCAAGTCCTCCGGGCGGAGGAAGGTCAGGAAAGGATCCGCAGGGAGATGGCCGAGCTACAGCGCGCGCTTCAGGAGGCCGAAGGGGCCCGAGACCTCGAGCGCAAAGAAACCATGGCGGTCCGCCGAGCCCTGGGCGATGAGACCCGAGAAAAGGACATGCTGCAGCAATCCAACCAAGAGCTTCGCCAAGCCATCAAGAAAGTGGAGAACGAAAAGCTCAGGTACCGGGCGGACGACGATAGATCGGGAGTTGGAGGTCCTGGGTTCAAATCCCACCTTTGCCCCTTCCTATCTATTGGATCTAGGGCAAGTCCCTTCCCCGGGTTGGGTCTCAGTTTTCCCATCTGTAAAAAGAAAGAGTTGTACCAGATGGCTTCTGAGGGCCCTCCAACTCTAGGTATATGGTCCTGTGTGACCTTGGGTTAGTTTCTGGGACTCAGCTGCCTCCTCTACAAAATGAGGAGGTTGGACCAGATGGCCTCCAGTTATGATCCTATGGTCCCAATTTTCAAGCAGATGAGGGCCAAGGTCCTTGCCCTCAATTCAATCCTACCCAATAATCCCCCAAGCACTCCTTATGTTTAGGGGGTTTCAGCCTTCTTGAGAAGATTCAAACACATGAAATAAACACCCTGGTGTGTAATTTGGGATCTAAATGTTTGGAATCTCAAAAGGTGAAGAGGAAGTTGAGAGCCCCTTGGGCTGCCAAGGTACTACAGAGGAAAGGCAACCTGAGTGATCTCTTGAAGGAGCAAGATATTCTAAGGAAATAACTCTTGTACTTTCCAAATCTAACTCCATGGCCATCCCAAAATGAGACAGATGGGTTTACTCTGGATTGCTGTTCTTTGTGCCTTCATTAGCTCATGCCACCCCGCTGAGTCTCAGTTTCCTCATGTGTAGGCTTGACAGGATGGTCAATTTGGAGCTGGAAGGGACCTTAGAATTTATCTAGCCCACCCTCCTCATTTTACAGATAAAAAAATAGAGACATGGGGAGTCTGTGACTTCCTAAGGTCACACAGGCTCTAGGCATTCAAACTGGGATCCGAGCCCAGGTCTTTGGACTCCAAATGCGCAAAAATGAAAAGATTGAACTGATGAACTTGAAGGCCACTTCCAGCTCCAAGACACCATGATCCCAAATATTTGGAAAACAGAAATTCAAAGGCAATTTGACAAAAGTCATTCCCCATCGCTGAAAAAGCGTAAAATATGAGACCTCCACAGGTCATCCCAATGGCCTCAAGTCACAGAAAAGCCAGTATAGCAGGTTTGGGAATGAATGAGGATGTTGGTTGCCTTGAGCCCCAGCAGGATCACGGGAAGGGTCACATCAGTCTCCTCTCTCTCAGTTTAAAGAGGGCCAAAGAGGAGAAGGAACAGAAGCTCATCATCTTGGAGGAGGCCAAAGCCTCAGTCCAGAAAGAGGCTGGGGAGCTCAGAGCGACCCTCCGCAAGGTGGAGACCTCCAGAATGGAGTCCCGGCGAGAGCTCCAGGAACTTTGGAGACAGGTACCCAACGAGGGCTGGGTTTGGATGTCCCCACGCCCCATGTTCCCATGTCCCCTATCAGAGCCCCAGATGGAGGCTCCAAATAGATGAGGTGAGGTGACCCTCAGTGACACAGGAGACACTTGGGATGATCCCCCCTCCACCTACCAGTGAAGAAAGTGCTCAACCTCAAAGATTCTAAAATCATGAAACATCCACTGAGCCAGCCTTTATTTTACTGTTGTGAGGAAGAGGAATTGGGTTTGTTCTTTCTGGACCCAGAGGGAAGAACTAGGAGCACTGGGTGATATGGAGAGGCAGATTTAGGTTTGATAGCAGTAAAAACTTTCTGAACTGTGTTACTATCCAAAGTGGGAGGAGCTGTCTCAGGAAGTAATGGGCTCCCCTGTCCTGGGGGTCTTGCCCTGTCAAGCCCTGTCAGAGGCTGTCTAGCCCAACCCGCTCTTTTAACAGATGAGGAAACTGAGGCCCAGCTAGACAGGAAATGACTTTTCCCAGGTCACACAGGGAGTCAACATCAGAGGTGGGTTTTGGACGCTGATCCTCTGACTTCAGAACCAAAGCCCCCTCCCAGCCATCTTGTCCATCAGGTGGCAGTGGGGATTCCTTTTCAAGGTATGGACTAGATGCCTGCGGGCGTCCCTTCCAACTCTGACATTCTGGGGTGTTGTCCTTAGTGGATCCAAGAGAGTTTCCCCACAGAATTTGTAGCAATCAGCAGGAGGACCCTACTGGGGAGGCCTCTCTCTGAGAGGCGAGAGGAAGAGTGAGTAAGAGGAAAGTGGATCCGCAAAGAGAGCCACCCAGCCACCCTAACAAGGCAGGCTTGTGTTCCTTCCATAGACTCACAGGGATGGTCACGATTTGAAGTAGAACAGCTACGATCTGGGGGTTAGCACACAACTACCATGGAAAGAGAGTGTTAATTTGTCCAGCGCTGGTAATCAGAACCAGATTGGTCAAGCAGGCACAGCTTGCCTCCCTCTCAAGAGAAGAAAACAATGTTGGTGTTTAGCCTGGAGGAAAGACTTGGGGGGGACACAGAGCTGTCTTCAATCGGTTGAAGGCCTGTCAGGAGAAGACAGCTTGGCCTCATTCTGCCTGGCCCCAGAGGGCTGAACCAGCAGCGATGGGTGGAGATTATAGGGAGATGGACTTCAGTTCCACCCTGGGAAAGAACATTCCAATAACTAGAGCTGCCCCAACATGGAGGGGGCTGCTTCGAGCAGGGAGGGAGCATCCCCCTGGACTCCATCTCTGTCAGTTTTCTGATGGAGTTTGGATGGGTGACGTCTTCATGGGGTGAAGCATCCCTGCATGGAGAGATCTGCAGTGGAATGTAAGCTCCGTGAGGACAGGGGCTGTTTTGTCTTTGCATCCCCAGATAACAAACAACAACGATAATAACAGACACTTATTTATCACTTCAAGGTCTGCATAGATTTACTCATTTGGTCCTTACAGTCACACAACCACTACTTAACCAGTCATATAACCACTACTTAAACAGTCACACAACCACTGCATATCCAAGGCAGGGCCATAATGGATAAGAGGCTGAAGCCAAGTCAGAATCTTTCCTAAGCCACTGATGAGCTGTGTGCCCCTGAATAAATCACTCGTCCTCTCTCAGGCTCAGTTTCTCCATCTGTAAAATGAGGATAAAAACAGCACCTACTTTCAAGTTCGGTTGTGTGCTTCTAATAAAGTCCAATCAAATCTTGAAGGGCTCCATAAATGTTAACTTAATGTTTCCAAACCCAGCTTGCTATCTACTCCAGTGCCTGGCACCTAGTGGGCTTTAAGAGACGGTTGTTGGGCTGACTCCATGGCATGCTGGTAAACGTTTAATAACTGGATCCCATGTTTATGGCACGCTGGCAAACATTTAATAACTGGATCCCATGTCCATGGCATGCTGGCAGACATCTAATAACTGGATCCCACAACACATTTTTATGTTCAATTGTATCATTCCCATTTTCTCCATCACTTTCTTAAGTCTAGACAATAAATCAAACCCTCTTGTGTAGTTTGCTGACTGCTAGAGTGCTCACACTGAAAGTTGAATAAAGGGGCTCTCTGAGCCTCTCTGAGGGGGCTTCAGCACGGCCCCCTGCTCCTCTTACTGGCCGAAATGCTCAGTGACTCTCCAAGGTGCACGGGCAGTGACCCTCTGCATTCACGCAGGTAAAGACCATGAAGGGTGAGAATGAGAAGAAATGCAAGGAAGTGAGTGACCTGCAGGCCAGAGTCATGCGAGAGGAGCAGCTGGTGCAGAAGGGCTGGAGAGAATCTGCGCAACTGCAGAAGAAGATTGTGGAGACTGAGGCCAGCTGGGAATGTGCTCAAAAGGAGGTGAGAAGGCAGCAGTACCTGGGCCCTCCCCGAGGAGTCCCCAGCAGTCAGGCAGATTCAGTGGGGTCAAGGGCAGGGCAGGCAAGAGTGAGTCTGGACTGCCTGATGGAAAAGTGGGGCCTGGGAAGAAGCGAGGACCAGAGGAAGGCAGTTCAGCACTCAGGGGGAGAGGAGGGTGGGGAGGGGGCAGGGCAAAAGAAGAGGGAAAGAAGGGGAGAGGAAGTGGAGGGGCAACAGTAAGAGTCAGGAAGGACAAGGAGGGGGAGGGAAAGAAGCGAGAGGGGGAGGGAGGGAGAGAGAGAAGGAGGGAGGGATAGAGAGAGAGAGAGAGAGAGAGAGAGAGAGAGAAGCAGCAGTGCTATTATTAGGCCTAATTCAGCCCCTCAATTCTGGAGTCTCAGAAGCTTCTATTTATTCAGTCATTTATTCATTCATTCAACCAACCAACCAGCATTCACTAAGCACTTTCTATGTCCCAGGCTCTGTTCTAGGTGCTGGGCACGCAAAGATAAAAATAAAACTGCTCCTGACTTCAGGAAGCTTACATTCTATCAAGTGAAAAAACACACCCTGATAAGTAAAGATAAAGTAATGGGGGGGAACACTACCCAAATCTGCTCCAAATCCACACTGCGCCCACTGTCCCTGGGTATCAGGCCCTCACCATGTTTCACAGTGGGGGAGGGGACTTCAAGAAAGCTGAGTTTGGAGTCAGAAGATCTGGCTGCCTTTGACCTGTTGAGTGACCTCATCATAGGGTTCACAGATCTGCAGCTGAGGGGAACTCAGTGGAGCTGGGTTCAAATCCTGCTCTGCCACTTAGCGTCTGTGTGGCCATGGACGAGGCCAAAAAGCTTTCGGTTACTTTATTTATAAATCTATCAGTGATGGGGAATATCTCTACACAGCGCTAGGTTGGCAGAGCAAGGGATGGTTTTCTGTAAGATAAGGTTTGTGGGAGCATCTTTGAAGGCAGAGAGAGACCGGTGATGGGAGCAGAGGACCCAAGTTCAAATCCCAGCTCAGTCACTTACGACCTGTGTGACCTTGGACGAGTCACTCCCCTGCCTGGGCCTGGGTTTCGTCATCTGTAAAATGAGGGGGTTGGACCAGCCGTCCTCTGAGGGCCCTTCCAGCTCTCAGCCTGTGAGACCCGTGGGCTGGGACCCTGGAGCTTCCTGGATGGAGAACTCTCTTTCTAGGGGCTGAAGACAAGAGCTGGTCCAGCACATTAGGGTTCCTCTCAGGACTGCTCTTGGAACAAACTGCCCTTTTGCCTGACGGGAAAAGTAGAGGCGATATGCCCCCTTGCCCTGGCCCATAGCGAGGGAAGCCTCAGTGTGGGAGGTCAGAGGGAGCAGGGCCTCCGCCCCACCTCTCTGAAGTCTGTCCACAGCAGCCCTCGTTGGAGGAGCGGGGAGAGGGATGGGAGAGGTCACCATGACACGATGGCCACCCATCCAGTCTTCTGCCAAGACCAGGCCCAGTCTGGATTGGCCGACCCCACGCAGCGGGAACCTAAGAGCGCTAGTGCTGAAGGGAGGCACCGGAGGGCTCAATCAGCCAATGAGTCCACCAGCACTTATGAAGCACCTACTATGTGCAGCGCACTGGGGATAAAAGGCAAAAAATGAAGCCGTCTCTGCCCTCCAGGCTGGCGGGGGAGACGATATGTGTGCGTGGACACATGCTTATATTTATATATACAGATATAAGTATGTATGTATTGTTTTGTTTGTTTGTTTGTTTTTGTTTTGTTTTTAGGCAATTGGGGTTAAGTGACTTGCGCAGGGTCACACAGCTAGTACGTGTCAAGTGTGTTTGGTCTGAGGCCGGATTTGAACTCAGGTCCTCCTGACTTCAGGGCCGGTGCTCTATCCACTGTGCCACCTAGCTGCCCCTTGTATTGTTTGACAGGTAGTTAAACATATATTCAGTGATATGTAGTCCTATATCTGGTTTTACATACATGTGTATGTCATAGCTGTGGTTCTAGTCATATACAAAGTTGAGGCTAATGCCCTCATTTTACAGAGAAGGAAACCGAGGTGCCGTAATGTGGCCCAGGTCTGCCAGGTGGGAGCCCAAACCAGGGCCTTGGCCTCCACCCTGAGGGCTTTGAAGCCCCCTGAGCTGCAGGGCCTCCAGGCTGGCTCCAGCCTGGGTCTCCAGCTGATTCCACGCTTTCTCTAGAGCCCAGCTACTTCACCTCCTGCGCTCCCTCCCCAGGCTGACTGACCTCCCACCCTGTTCTGTTGCTCTCCTGGCAATGGGACGAGAACTCCCTGGGTGGCCTTGGCCCCAAGTGCCTGCCTTTCTAGGCTACCTCCCAGGGTGCAGAACAAACCATCCCTCAGGACAGGACCCCGAGAGAGCCATCTCTGGCCCCAGTCCAAGCTGGGTTTGGCTGGACAAGGGAGTTTCCTCTTGGGGTCGGAGACCCCAAATTGGCAGGGTTGCTGACCACTCCCCAGCTGCTCACTGAGCTCTGGTCTCTGGTCCCGGCTCTCTTCATCTGGTGCTCATTCCCATGGTTTACGAGCTTCCAGGGACCATAGTTTGGGAATGGAAAGAGGGTTGGGTGTGGAGGTGAAGGAACTAAATTCAAATCCTGTCCTGCTGTATAGCCTTGGGTGAATCTCTTCTTTCACAGCCTCAGTTTCCCCACACATAAAATGAAGGGGTTGGATTAATCTGGGAGACGCTAGCCTACAGCCAGGATCAAAGTCAGTCCAGTTTTTACAAACCATTCTTAGCTCACCAGCTGTACAGAAACAGCCAGATTTAGCCTACGGTTACTCGTTCGCTGACCCCTGAACTAGATGATCCACTGGGTCCCATCCAGCTCCGAGGCCTGCTGTCCTATCTAGGGTCACGTTCATATGGAGGCTCGGACTGAAATTCAGACGAATCACTCAGACACGTGAGATTCTTTCACTAGAAACCTACAATCAAGTCAAGTCAACAAGCATTTAAGCACCTACTATGAGCCAGGTACTGTGCAAAACCTTGGAGATATACAGAGAGGCCAAAAGAAAAAGCCCGTGCCTGTATTCAAAGAGCTCTCAGTCTCATGGGGGAAACAACATGAACACAGCTGGGCACAAACAAGATAAATTGGGGGTGGTTTCAGAGGGAGGCATTAGCATTAGGGGTGATGGAGAGAGGGATCTTGATGAAAATGGAATTGGAGCTGAGCCTGGAGGGAAGCCAGGGGCCCAGCGGGTCACCTGGACCTCAGCCAGCATCCTCAACTGCTCCCGCCTGAACCTTGTAGGTGACCTTTCACCTCATCTTGTCCCCAATAGGGCACATTTCTGTACCGTGTCAGAGTGGTCGAGCTTGCCCACAAACATCTGCTTGCCTGCTCCCCCAGTGAAAATATAAGGTCTCCTAACAAAAAATGTCCCACTGGACAAACGGAGAGGTTCCTCCAGCCCACTTTCGACTGTCCCCTCCAAGCAGAATTTTCAACAACCAGACTTTTCCAACATTCTCCCCGCCTGCCTGCTGGTTGCTTAGCACCAAAGTGGGGGGGTAGTCTGTGCAGTTTGGGGAGAACCAAGTCTAACTTCTTCCTGCCGCTACCCTCACCCTAAGTATCCAGGGCCACCTGCAAGTCAGCCCATCCCAGGAAAGGCGCTAACATTAGAATTTAAACATTGAAAGGGGCCTCAGAGACCATCTGGTCTAACCCCTCTGTGACCAGGCATCCGCTCTATCCAATATCCAACGAGTGGTCATCCGACATTTGCTTGAAGAGGTCATTAGGAGAAACCCACTGCCACTGGCTCAAACATCTCATTGTGCTTTGAGATCAGTCTTACGGGGAGAAATATTTGCCTCCAACCCAGCAGCCTCCCTGCATCTTCCAGCCACAGTTTCTAGATGCTCCCTCTTAGGCAAAGCAGAACAAGTTTAATCCGTATTCCCCATCAGAGCCTCAAACGCTTGAAAGTAGCAATCATGTCAATAATTCATCCTGAATTACTGGTGTTGTTCCGAGCCTAGGCTGTCTTCACTTGTAGGGGCTATGGTCAGGCACCTTTTCAAGCTAATAATCCCATAGGAACAACACACTATCCAGCTTCAGAGATGAGTATGTGTCCCAAGGCTGTCGAGTTATGGAGCCACGGGATTCTCACAGAGGATTGTGACTTTGAGGAGTCTTTGTTGTTGTCGTTCAGTCATGTCTGACTCAATGACCCCTTTGGGTTTTCTTGGCAGAGATACTGGAGGAGTTTTGCCATTTCCTTCTCCAGCTCATTTTACAGATGAGGAAACTGAGGCAAACAGGGTAACACAGCTAGTAATTGTCTGAAACCAGATTTGAACTCGGGAAGATGAGTCTTCCTGACTCTAGACCTGACGTTCTATCCACTGCACCACCTAGCTGACCTGAGCAGATTCTATGGAGTGTGAAAACAATAGCACTGTGGTGTGATTTGTAGGCACTGCAAATTTTTAACTGGCGGGGAAAATGTAGGTAGAAGATTAGCTTCCTGGTAATAAAGTTAACTTGGTAGCTGTTTGACCAGGGACAAGTCACTTAATCCCAAATGCCTCAACAAAAATAGATAGATAGATAGATAGATAGATAGATAGATAGATAGATAGATA